TTCTTCCTTTCTTTCTTTCTTTCTTTCTTTCTTTCTTTCTTAATATTTTCTTCAACTCTCTTTCTTACCATTCACCTTCATTTCTTTCTTTCTTTTTTCTTTCTTTCTTTCTTTCTTTCTTTCTTTCTTTCTCCTCTGTTCTCTTTCTTTCCATTCATCTTCATTTCTTTCTTTCTTCTTTTTTAATATTTTCTTCAATTCTCTTTATTACCATTCACCTTCATTCATTCATTCTTTCTTTCTTTCTTTCTGTTCTCTTTCTTTCCATTCATCTTCATTTCTTTCATTCTTTCTTTCATTCTTTCTTCTGTCTTTTTTTTTAATATTTTCTTCTATTTTTTTTCTTTCCCTTCATCTTCATTTCTTTCTTTCCTTCCTTCTTTCTTTTAATCATTCTTTCTTTCTTTCTTTCTTAATATTTTCTTCTATTCTCTTTCTTTCCATTCATCTTTGTCTTATTTTGTAATTACTCATTTTCTTTCCGTTTTCTTGAAGTCTTTCATGTTTATTTTACTCTTTTCCTTGAAGACATTCTTTCTCTTTATATTCCCTTGTTTTTCCTCTTCTCTTGCTAGCATTCCCTTCATTTTTTTTAAAAGCAGGTGGAGGAACGTGTACCCCCCCCACTAATCGCAGATTTCCATGAGGCGGCAAAAGAACTACACGACGAGTAGCTAGAAATACTGAAAGAAGATAAATGCTCGCAAAATTCAGAGTTTTATGAAAGAAAAAAAAAGAAAAAACATGTAATTTAGTGTTACGGAAGATTTTCAATAAATAATCACATAATTCTGTCTACCTTTTTGCTGAGCGAGACCTCTCTTTCTCTCTCTTTCTCTCTCTCTCTCTCTCTCTATATATATATATATATATATATATATATATATATATTCATTATATTCATTTATTCATGTCTATTTCTTTGTCAGCTCATATCTACCTCGTCAAGTAGCTAGCCAGCTCCCTACAAATTCCAGGCAGTCTATCTATCAGTCTATCTATCTATCTATCTATCTATCTATCTATGTCTGCTTATATATCTGTCTCAATCTATTCATGTCTCTTTGTCTATCTCTCTATCGCTGTATGTTAATATTCCTCTCTCTCCGTGTCTCTCTCCCTCTCTTCTCTCTCTCTCTCTCTCTCTCTCTCTCTCTCTCTCTCTCTCTCTCTCTCTCTATTGCTATCTATGTATATGCGAATAATGCATTTAGTAAATGCACTGCCAATGATTTTATAAATGCATTGAGAATAAGGAAAAAAGATTTTCAGAGGTCAGGCTTTTGAATTCAAACTTTAGTGACAGAATACATACATACATACATATATATATATATATATATATATATATGTGTGTGTGTGTGTGTGTGTGTGTCTATATATATATATATATAAGCTGTCGGAAAGTGACGTGGTGGACGAAAGCTTAGGAATGCATTATTAATGGCTTCGTTTGTCATTGCTTTTACCATAATCTAACAAAGATAAATAATCCAACATTTTTTGCGTTCTTCCTCTTTCATTTTTAATCTTCCTTTATTTTTTTTTATTTTTTTTTACCTTCTTTACTCTTTTTTTACTCTCGTAGATTTCAAAACCGACTTTCTTCATCATATCTTGTTCATGAAACAGAGAATGGAAACCTAACAAAAGACCGCTAAACTACAACATTTATTTTATGATATTTTCTTTTTTTACCATCTCCCATCCGTTTACTTGCTGATCTGATAACTACAATCTTCAAAAATTTAAATGCAACGTCAATCGCTATCTTCTGACTTCTTGAATTCTGATCATTTTCGTCCTTCTCTCAAGTCTCGCCATTTTCAATCTTTTACTTTCACTTTCACTTTCAATTCTTGTCACATCTTCGCACTACCGGAATTACCGCCTTGCATAAATGATATATAAAAAAAGAAAAACAAACGATATCATGAAATTGTTGAGACTCTTAAGCCATTAACTGCGGATGACGAAAATATCCGTCACTCACGTATATATCAATACAGGTCAAAGTAAATGACAAATATTTCGATATTAATTTTACTGCCTCATTTAGAAAATGGCTAGCTAGTGGTTCTTGCCGTAGATAATGAGCTAAGGAAAGATTTGGGAATTTTCGAATATTTACTCTCTTAATCCTAAGGCGATGCCTACCTGTAGCTCTTGTGTTTAAAATTAAACCCACTTATCTGAAACGAAAGGAAATACATGATATAGATATATAATGGTGGTGTATTATTTTCATCGAGCAGGTGGAACTCATTAACCTGGGATGGCAGGAAGATTATGATTTAAAACATTCACCACTTTGTGGTTACGTACATTCCTGTGAAAGGTTTCGGGAGTAAAAGCTGAGGTTAAAATTTGGAGTGTCTAATTTGCATTCAACATCGCACCGGCATCTCCTGTGACGACACTGGCGATAAGAAATATCGTCTCTTGCCTTTCCCTGGGACAATATCAATAATATTTTCTGAGATCTGATTTTGATGGCGTACGGGTGTGGTTGATTATAGATTTACCGGCTAGGGGAGCCTTTCGATCTGTCTTAGACACAAGCAATTCTCCATGCTCTATTATATATTACAGTAAGTTGTGATCCCAATATGATTAAATATAATTCGAAGATTGGTACATTGTGTGATATTCCGCCAATAATAACTTTATCGATAGCTATTCAATCAAGTCATATAACATTAGCTGTTTTTGAACCAATATAAAGTTCGAAAGCCACTCAATGTAGAGGGTGACTGAATGAGGATAGATATTGGTTGACACTAAATTTGAAGAGTTTAGGATTATCGCAAACGGAGAAGCACCCTTCCTGGAGTCTTTTTCACAAAGTACAGCTTCTTGGGAAGAAGCTGTCTGAATTGAACTTCCTCCTTACATATGGAATATGAAGCGAATTGCAGTTGGTTGACTCTTTTGGTATGTCGAGTCTTAACTATAAACTTCTGAAACTAAGGAATCTAGCTCGTCTGAACATTTTTCCATGGAAACAGCTAACGAGTAACGGGGGTGTGTGGCGTGTCTGTGGGAAAGTGTTATAGGGCAGAAAACAATTAATCTGTCATGCGGGGATAGGGGATGTACTGCATTGTTCATTGTCGAGTTCCCTGTGAAATAAAATCCTGCCAAGGCTTGCATCCAAGAAATGATATTCCAGCGTCGCCATATCTGCGCTTGACTGATAAAACAGACGTTTCGTTATTACCCCCAGCTGAATAATAATAAAAAAAAATGCTCAGTTCCATGGTTCCTCGAGAAGGACGGATGTCATACATTAACATATTATTGCCTGTAAGCAGGCTTCCCAAGAAGGCTTTGAAAATGAGGTCCATGCAAATTGGATTTTCCCATAGTTTGATATAAATTGAAACCGTTGAATATAAATGAGTGCAAAAAAAAAAAAAATTTAAAGCGATGATTATCTCGAAAATCAAAATGATTGTAGATGGAAGGTTTTCAATTCTGCTTATCATTCATTATCGGCTCGGATTTCGGTTTGCACTTTTTACCACGGCAATCTTGCGTAAAATCTGTTTGAAGAAAATAAATTAAACGTCGATGTCTAAGAAGTGAAGCGAAAGAAAGAGAAGAAAGCGATAAAGTGAGAGGGTAACAAAAATAAGAGGGTAACGCAAAAAGAAAGCATCAGACGAAAAAAGGTCAAAATCTAAATAATTCTTAGGAACTGACTTATTATTATTATTATTATTATTAGTAGTAGTAGTAGTAGTAGTAGTAGTATTTCCTTATTATTATTATTTTCTTATTATTATTTCCTTATTATTATTATTATTATTATTTTCTTCTTATTATTATTATTTCCTTATTATTATTATTATTATTTCCTTATTATTATTATTATTATTATTATTTTCTTCTTATTATTATTATTTCCTTATTATTATTATTATTATTATTATTATTATTTTCTTCTTATTATTATTATTTCCTTATTATTATTATTATTATTATTATTTTCTTATTATTATTATTATTTCCTATATTATTATTATTAAATTATTATTTTTTCTTCTTATTATTATTATTTCCTTATTATTATTATTATTATTATTATTATTTCCTTATTGTTATTATTATTATTATTATTATTTCCTTATTATTATTATTATTATTATTTTCTTCTTATTATTATTTCCTTATTGTTATTATTATTATTATTATTATTTTCTTATTATTATTATTATTTCCTATTATTATTATTATTATTATTATTTTCTTCTTATTATTATTATTTCCTTATTATTATTATTATTATTATTATTATTATTTTCTTCTTATTATTTTTATTTTCTTATTATTAGGTCAGAAATGACTTCAAGACATTTTCCACTGTTCATTTTTGTAGAAACAAAAACTAAGAGCTGTAAACTTTAAGCTTAAGCGCTAAGGATTTACGGACAAATATTTATATCGACTTTTTCCTTGTTTTGGTGTGAGGAATCCGCCCCCAAAATTTTGTAAAAAAAAAAAAAAATTTTTGGTAGACACTTTATATGCAGGGTGCGATGGATATATTGTCGCAATTGTATATTTTTAATTTCGCGCATGCGCATTGTTTCTTTTCTTTCTTTTTTCTTTTTCATTTTGTCGGCTGCACACTATAGTAGGCTCAGTTGGTCACCGTCTGTGAGTAAAATAGCACCATGACGCAATTCATTCCGCCAAAAATTTGGTAGCAGCTTGCTGTACTGCTTGGCATTCGCGCCGGAAGCTCTGATACGAACATTTCAGATTGTTTTGGTGCCAATCTGAGGACAGTGCAGAAGATTCGAAAAGAGTTGGATGAGTCTGATGGTAATTACGAAGGTACGGCAGCTCGAAAAACTCGCTTTTATTTTTCTGATAAGAAAAGAACTCCTGAATTTGTTGGTGAGGGCCTCAAACTAAACACGGAAGCCTACATCCCTCCCTTGAGGAGGTATTGCTGCCCTGGATCAAAAGGGTCGCTGCTGGAAGACCCTGTGTTTGGCAACAGGACTCTGCACAATGCCACATAAACAGGAAATGTCAGTCATGGCAGATAGAAAATTCCAACGACCACATCACCTCTTACATTTGACCACCTAATTCGCCAGATTTGCGGCCTCTTAATTATTGTGTACTTGGGGGGGGATCGTGGTAGAAGCCAATGGTGATCTTATTGAATACATTTACTCTTTAGTATTTCAAGATATTTTTACGTATTTTTTAGTAGATATACAGTGCTATTCGATAAAAGTAACTCACCTGATTTTTTTTTACTAAATGTTCTCTTCTCCGATGAAACGAAAGTTCAGCTAAATTCAAAAGATAAAATCCGAAGAAGAAGCTTTGAAAGCTCTTTGAATTTAGCAGTAAGTAATGTCAAGCATCCGTTCAGTATAATGTTCTAGGGATGCTTTTCTTTTAATGGAACTGGTTTCTTAAAACCTATTGAAAAGACCCTCAGGAGCGAGCAGTACAAGAAAATTTTAGAGTCTTGTCTGCTCCCTTCTGCTGAAAGGTTGTAAATCGACCCCACCAAGCTCATTTATTATGCAGGATAATGCTCCCTGTCACAAATCAAAATTGATGAAGGAATACTTTGATGAGAAGCAGGTGAGTGTTATGACATGGCCACCCCAATCTCCTGACCTCAACCCCATAGAAAACTTATGGGGCATTATAAAGTACAGGCTCTCGAGAAAGCAGTTGAGCAACAAAGAGGATTTGATTGTGAATTTCATATCCGAATGGAATTCAATGCTTGGAGATGAAATTTGCCAGAACCTAATCAAGTCAATGCCAAAAAGGGTTGAAAAGTTTATTCAAAATAAAGGAGGACCCATAGATTATTAAATATTTCGAACTATATTACCTATTATAAATAAATTATACCTCTATTATTCTTTATTTAAAGCTGTTCGGTTATGTTTCTATTGATTACTAGTTGCAGAAAATAAGTGAGTCATTTTTTTTTTTTTTTTTTTTTTGCACAGAGTTTTTCCCTAAATCTCATTTATATCCAAAATTATAATTATCAATAGAATACCTTAGGGTGAGTAAACTCTTTTACTAGGTGGTCAGAAAGAGGTTTTTATATTAGTAAGATTAAAAATTAGTTTGACCCCAAAAACAATAGGTGAAAAATTTTTTAAGTAAAAAAAATCAGGTGAGTCACTTTTATCGAACAGTACAGTATGTGTTAAAATGAGATATCAGTGTTATTTTAATTTTTCCGTAATTTAGACGATAATATATTCAGCGCATCATGTACATCTTCCCATATAAAAAGCACACCACCACGAATTAAGATGTACCTCGGTATATTGCTTAGCCACTTTTAATTTGGTGGGGGGGTGAAGGTGGTACCTTTTTTTTATTTTTAATTATCTCACACCGACAGCTTGCGGACGCATTACGTTGAAACACCGGTTTTAGTACAATCACCGAAGTTAAGCAACATCGAACCAGGTCAGGACCTAGATGGGTGACCTCTTGAGATTGATTTATGTGTGCTTTGTTAAGTTTGGATTTGAGGGTGGTGTAATAGATAACGGCACGGATTTCGAAATCGTGGAGCCGATTTCTAATTCCTGTCATGTTCATATATTCACTTATACACAAACGTCCTTGGGGAAATATATGAATCCACCCTTTTCCCCACATCTATGGGTTAATTAATATGATTTGGATTAATAAATCATTATTATCGCAAAAAATACTCTTACAATCTATCAAACCCAGATTGTGACAATAGAGTATCTACCATGAAAGGGGAAACGTTGTAAGAACCCGAACGCTAATTTACTATGCATGTGTATATATATATATATATATATATATATATATGATAGTGACAAATAAATGACTAAATAGTCTCGTTGCGTAGCCCCTTAGTGAGGGTGGGTTTTGGGTGACGATCTTGGTTCACTCTTCTTCTTCTCCCGGCCAGTGATCGCCAGTCGTTTTGGTTCGGAAATAAAAAGACATCAACAGAGATAAAATGGAACTTAACTGTTTATTACGCTTAACTATTTATTATGCTTAAATATTTATTATGCTTAACTATTTATTATGCATAACTATTTATCATGCTTAAATATTTATTATGCTTAAATATTTATTATGCTTAACTATTTATTATGCCTAACTATTTATTATGCTTAAATATTTATTATGCATAACTACTTATTATGCTTGGCTATTTATTATGCTTAAGTATTTATTATGCTTAACTATTTATTATGCTTAAATAATGGATCACTGTACTTTTACCCTATGTTGGCGTTTCTCGTGATTAAAGAAAAAAAATGAAAATGAGTGACTTTAAAAAAGCCATTAATATTTATTCTGTATCTTTTCTTTATAATCCGTAGTTCATGTCGAAAGTTATTAATATATTTTTCCATATCTATCTATCTATCTATCTATCTATCTATCTATATATATATATATATATATATATATATATATATATATATATATGTGTGTGTGTGTGTGTGTGCGTGTGTGTGTATATGTGTATGTGTGTGTGCAATTGATTCGTATGTGTGTGTAAAATCATTATAAGAAACTTGCCAATATACCGCACTGTCATGGAAACGTCAAATTTAAGAATATTGCTCCCCGGACTAGGTATCGAACTCTTTCTAAAATGTACTGGAATTGATTGATTTCAGGGTAGACTTTATGATGTATACACGAATAGAATATATAGATAGATAGATAGATAGATAGATAGATAGATAGATAGATAGATAGATGATTTTATGTATAACGCAATTACTAAGTTTGTCATGAATTTTAGCTATCTCTCGTAATAAATTCGCATCTATCTATCTATCTATCTATCTATATTTCAGTCAGTTCAAATCTATCTATCTATCTATCTATCTATCTATCTGTTGTGGTAGGATCCACCTAATTTGCATAGTGGAGTACCGACCATATAAATATGGTTGGTACCGGGAAGAGAGTGAGGAATCAAGAGATTCAACCAGAGACTCTGCCCGACTGCGACTCAGTCTACACATTCTCCAGGAACTGTCTTCCCAGGAATATACAAAAGACTATATGTAAATATTGTGTACACTTTCTTGTTTCAATACATTTTGTTCTAAGTACATTTTGTTTTGCATTATTATTCCATGCATTAGTCAAGTTTCAACACTATCGAATTTTGTTCATGATCTCTCTATGACTGTTCATCTCTCTCTCTCTCTCTCTCTCTCTCTCTCTTTCTTCTGTAAAATGATGCACATTAGACAGAAATATTTTAAATTTGGTCTTTTACCAAGCCGTTCAGGAAGCAAGACTTAATATAAACCAGGATAAAAAAAACTATTATATGGAATTAGAATTAGATTAGTTCAATCACATACCTTGAATTCATCACGTCAATAAAGAATGTCGAATGAAAAAAATTGAAACACTTAAAATACCTCGATGTATAGATCAGCTATCACAAGTTTCATATAGGAAATTATAAAAGCGAACACAGGATAGTTTTTTATGCTATTGATCACATAATAGTTGGCCCAAGAGCCACTTAAGAATGAGCTTGTTTATGAACGCATGAGGAAGAGGTAAGAAGTTGGCCGTTGATTTGGAGAGGGTAAGATTGTAGTGATTAAGAGGGCCTCCTCTCGGGAGTCTATCACACAAAGTAACTGTAAGCAGTTCGGGGAAAATGTTGTCCCGATGGAACTTCTTTCTTACCAATTGAATACGAAGTGAATTGTGATGGTTCGCTCTTGTGTACATGGTATGGTGGATCTTTGGTTTAAATGCCTGAACTGTTCGAAGTAATTAAGCACGTCATCACATTTTCTATGGAAATAGTGATAGAAAAGCTACCGTGGATATCGTCTGTGGATAAAGAGGCTTGTAGGGGGGGGTAATTTTTCATCGTCCACAAAGTCACTTAGATGCATTGAACTCTGTCAGAACTAGACAATTACATTTTTAACCTTTGGTTAGAACGTTCGCTTTCTGACCATGAGATCCGAGTTCAAATCTCACCATGGTCTATTTGTCAGGAAACAGACTCCCTGATATTATCGGTTTGCAGGTGAGACGATCCTAGCTTGCGGTACCTTTGTAAAGTGTCTTGTGAGTGAAATTGGGTAGACGGAACACTTGCGGCCGTCTTTAGTTGTGATACCCCGAAGTCACACGGTGTTGTTTAATCTGTATATCATTCTCTCTCCCAGAAACTGTAACTAAGGTCTGCTCAGCATAGTTGCAGTATGGGTCTGTAGGTGTTGAACAAACACAGATGTGCCTGAACGAGAGTCTGCAATAGGGATCGGCTAGCCTCCCTAGTAGCCAGCTATTATTATTAAAAGATAGATCAAGCTGTTGCAGTTTTTTGTGTATCATGTACTAGTGAGCTAGCCCAAATGACTTGACTCACTTTATAGTCCACCAATAGAAGGTTAACCAATCAGAAGACATAGAATATTCAATCCGTTGTGTATAAAGGCGGCCATTTTGTTTACTCTCTCCGAATGTCCAGTGCCATCTTGTCAGGCGAAGAGGAACAGAAGGAAGAACTACTGAACTACGCTCTGCTACTTTTACCAAAATATCCACTGCTAACTTGAACAACGCTTTCCTACTGTCTTCAAAATATTCACTGCTAACCTCTGGATTCTATACTCAAAGACGACGGTCATCATGAACAACACAAGAGAGGGTTGTAACAGATAATTTCGGAAGCGGTACAAGGAATCGACCATTTTTCCAGTATCTTTAGTAACGGATCTGATAAATGTTCGGCTTGAGGTCGGGATTGAACTTGAGTCCTAAGAGACGTCTAAATCGAGCACACTCTTTGAGATTGCAAGGTTTCAAAGTTCCTGGGGACAATTCAGGCTCATCTCGGTAATTACAAACAGCTACTAGCTTGCATTTTTAGGTATTGAATGTTACAAGAGAGATTGTCCTTCGGTGGACTGTTAGAAGTTTGGTAGTTTGTGCTAGGCTTAGGTCTGTCCAACACCAGATTCTACAAATCTTAAATATCAACTTCAAACCTGGAATCAAGTGCCTAGTCAAATCTAGACTCTCATATGGAAGCCATGCAAAGAATCCAATTCCTTCAGAAATGTCTAAATTACTATCTTTGGAATCAATTTAAAAAAAGGTTTATTGAAAATAAAATAAAAATTGACGAAAAAAAATAAAAAAGATAGATGATTTTTTGAATGCAATCCAGATTTGGATGCTTGCTTGCTATGTGACAGAGTACTGAGGTTTGCATAAAGAGTAGTAATGCTTAGCATATTACAAAAGCGGATATTAAATGAATTTCATAGTGGTCATCTGGAAATTTCAAGGGTGGGAACAACAAAGGCAATGGTATCAATTTAAGAAAAGGTTTATTGAAGAAAGTCTTGAGAGAAAGCAATAACTTTTACAAGTACTGTATGATACATTTGTTGTACCAAAACCCCAAGAATTCATTGAACGTACAAATATGATTACCAGAAAAAGTAAAAACTAGCGGTTTACCCAAAATGAAGTTTTGTGTTGAATAACCAGAAAGAGAAGGCGTTGAATACTAAGAAAAAAAAATATTTGCTAGTAAAAAAAAAAAAAGACCCTCAAAAGCAGGGATGTTGTGGAGTAATTTTGACATCCCAAATAACAAAAATAATAACAAGCACATCATTCGAACATTTGCAGCAGTAGAAACTATAAAAACTGGTATCACATATTACAAGATGGGAAAATAATAATATTAACAAAATGTTGAGTTTCCACACTACCGGAAACTTCTATCAATATTAGAAAAAGTAACATTTAGTCGACTTGAGAATCCTATTTTTCTAATTTTTTTCTTTAAGTGAAAGATTTCATAAATTCCTACCTACAGTAACCATCAATGTGGAAAGTTTTCTGTATGGAAACAGTTTTGCTCTCCATTGAAATTAATTATTTCATATTTATATATATATATATATATATATATATATATATATATATATGGTGTCCATAAGTTCGTGTGCACTTTAAAAAAATTTATAACTTTATTTGTATTTGCGATAGAAATAATTTGTAAAAAAATTAGAAAAAATTAAATTTATATTTTTCAATGTTTTATTGAAAGTTTATTTAAGTTTCAACATTTCCTCCATCATTAGCAATACAAAGGTAATACGATTTTGAAGTTCACGGAAAAACATTTGCCAACTGATTTACAGTAATGCCTGAAATCAGGTTAGTTATTTTAGCTATACTTAAAACTAGGTACATTATAAATTTTTTAAAGTGCACACGAACATTATGGACACATTATATATATATATATATATATATATATATATATATATATATATATATATATATTAGTTAAAAGTAGCCCTATTGAGCTAGCTCCTGCTGATGGCTCTTGCTTGGGCCTTCATCACAATAGGTAGGAAAGAGTAAATGCGATAGGCAACAATAAACTACAGAACTCAAAATTCAAAGCTGCATTTAAGTATTGCATTAATATTTAAGCTTACCTTTTTAAAAGTTCAACGATAATACTTCTGCCGCCACAAAATTCAAACACAGTTTGATGTACGTAGATCCTTACTTTCCGTACGAACAATTATTTTATTTCATGGATGACTTTCGCTGGATTTCGCAATTAATTTCGATTATTCCCAAATTTATGTCGAAGTTACGTCGCAAAAATATCACGTAAAAAATGGCCGAAAACAAACGCAGTAATGAAAACTTGAGAATCCAAAATTTCAGGATTGCAGATTGAAAAGACGGACAATTTTATTCTGAATCACTGTAATTCGAGAACAGTAATTTTTTCATTTGAACATGAGCTATTGAAAAATTAGAGAGTTGCTTCCCTTTAATTGTTTTTATCAGTAGAAGCCAAGATGGCGGAATTCGAAAGCAATCTCAGTAATGAAAACCTGGGAATCTAAAATTTTAGGATTGCTGGTCCAGATACAGACAGGAATGTTTTTAATTTGCTCACAGACTCGGCCTGGTCTGAAACTGGTATATGTTGGGGTACAGCCTCTAGGAATAAAGTTGAAATAGTGTATGCTAGTAACACACTTATATTCGCATATATATATATATATATATATATATATATATATATATATATATATATTTATGGTGTCATCCCTCTAAAGAGTCTATTTATACTCTTCCGCCTAAATAAGATTAGTAGGAGAGAATATATTGGAGGAACAGTCGAATAGATTGAACGCTGGGTCAACACACACACACACACTAGTCGTGTAATATCTTCTGTTGTACTTAGTGTTTAATATATGATATACTAGCAGTAGAGCCCGGCGTTGCCTAAAATGTAACAATAAGAGATAGATCAAGTATCGACCATCATAAAGACTGAAAAATAAAATTGACAAAGATTATTGTTTAAGGTTGACGGACACGCATATCTTAAATAGTATTTTTTTTTTTGTTTTGTTTTTTTACGAATTGGTCAAACCCAAACTCAAACAAAAGCATTGTTTTCAATCGTTATGAGTCTACCTATTGAATAGAATTTTATTATAAACAATTGTCTTGTAAATGGAAAATTTAAAATCATTCTGAATGTAAAAATAAAGAAAAAAGTGTGCAAGACAATAAGAAAACTACCTTTAAAAAAAAAGTGAAGTTTTGTTGAAATCGGTTGAAAAAATGAAAATCCGATCCCATATATAAGCGAACACACACACACACACACACACACACACACACACACACACACACACATACACATATATACAACCAACCTGGGTTTTATAATATGTATAACTTGATATGAGTTCTCCTCCTTTCATTCATTTCAGCGATGCCTCTTAATCGTGTTTTCAAATTGATTTCATGCAAAAACAATTGTGTTTTTTCAATTTTTGGCGCTGTCAAAACCACCGCAAGGGAATTTTACGTAGTCCTGTGAAGTTTTGTTGAAATCGGTGGAAAAATGTAGAAAATCCGATCCAATATATAAACGTACAGACACACACACGCAACATGGGTTTTATAAGTATGATCTGTAACATTTGTTTTGTTACTTCATTAACCATTTACTTGGTCACAACAATATAACATGCATATATATAATGATGTTATAACATATATATATATATATATATATATATATATTTATTTAAAAATATGATTCAAATCGCGAATAAGAAGTCCAATGTTTAATGATTTAAAAGGCCGAAACATCTATCATCTTTTAAACAATTCAAATAATATACAAAAACCTCCGTATCCGTTATGAATGAAATTTCGTTGTTTATATAAATTTCTGCCGTATTAGTTCTTATTTTATATACAATATTTATCTGTTATATATATATATATTATATATATAGAATATATGTTGTTTTTCAAAACAGTAGTATTTTCAATACAACGAAAATATATATTTTTCGTTGTCCTCTTAAATACTAAGAGAAAAAACAAGAATTAACATCCATTCTATACCTGAAGATATCTGTAGAACAGACGAAAGCTTGTAGTAAAATAAGAAATACGGCAGAAATTTATATAAACAAAGATCATTTCATTCATAACGGATACGGAGGTTTTTGTATATTATTTGAATTGTTTGCGATGATGGATGTCTCGCCATTTAAATCATTAACCTTGCATTAGTTTTTATTGAATAATTCATGTTTTTGTAAATTGATTGCACGTTTATAATATATATATATATATATATATATATATATATATATATATATATATATATATATATATATATATATATATATACAAGACATTATTTTCCATAACATTTTTCCAGATAGACTGTGGCTTGAACAGGTACTCTTTTTGACAAATTTGTGTCGTTCCTTTTCATGTTTTTTCTTCATCAATAGTTTCCATGATGATAAAGCCACTTCCTGTTTCCTCGTCTTCCTTCTCTTCCTTCTCCTTTTCTTAAAACCAAACATTATTATTATTGATAGCTAGGAATAAGCATAATTTATATGGCATTTTAATGTATATTTTAAAAGGCTAAAAACAACCGGTTTCATCCCAGCCTTATCAAGTTTATTTCTGGGATATAAAAAAAAATATAAACGTGTAAATTTAATTGATATTAATGATAACCAGTGGAGGGAAAAGAAAAAAAAATATGAATTTCAAGAAAGCTAGAGTCCAATAACATTCAGACCCAGTAAGCATTCCCTCTGTTTACAAAGGGAAGGCCCCACGGGATCTGATATACTCTAGAACCTTGAGGTGATATGAGGAGTGGGACCTCGATAAAATCAAAAAACGTTCTACCCTAAAATCAAAGACACAATTCCTGCTATTCATAACATGCTCTACAGTAGAAGAGCCAGATGTATTAATTAGGTGGCTTTTCCTGACATCCGGATTCAAAATCCTGGAAAGTGTGTGTGTGTGTGTGTGTGTGTGTGTGTGTGTGTGTGTGTGTAGGGGGTAAGTGTTGCTTTATTCTCAGACCCAAACATTGAGACGTCCTCCCTATGTAGTCGAGTCTACAACTACACTTATATTTATAAATCACTGTATTAACATGAAGGGAGGGGTCAAGGAGATTCTTACGGATGGAAGAGAAAATAGGACGGGTAACAAATATTACCCGAACATTAGCCGAAAAATAACAGCTATTAATCGCCCGCGAAATTCACCTAGCTAAAGATTCACCCTCTGAACCAATAAAGGGAAGACGCAAATAAACAGAGATTATTATTATTATTATTATTATTATTATTATTACTTTGATTTCTGGCGTTTACACATTTCTTTCCGGGTCCCGCCCAGGGACCTAAGGTTAGAAATGGCATTATGACACTTTCCACTGACAAAAAAAAAAAAAAAAATTACATAAATAAAGCCCTTCGTAAAGTGTGGGCTGTACTTGTCAGAACAATTTTTTGTATCTCCTTGAGGCATGGACTTCCAGGAATCCCTTCAATTAGTCTACTGCAATCTTTTCCAACCAATCCTAGGGCTCCAACTGCAACAGGGATTGTTGATGTTCCCATATTCCACATTTTCGAGATTTCTATTTCAAGGTCCTTGTATTTTGACAGCTTTTTGAATATCTTCAAAGATACATTGCAGTCAGCAGGGACTGCCATATCAACAAGGAGGCACCGTTTTTATTTGTGGTCTTTAATAACAATATCTGGCCGGTTGGCTTTGATTGTTCTATCAGTGTGTATTGTGTATTCCCATAGAATTGTAACAGGTCCTATCTCCGTAACCGGGTCTGGTTGGTGTTCATACCAGTTTCTTTCAGTTTTCTTCCCGTAGAAGTTGCAGATTTTCCAGTGCAGATATTGGCCCACTCTGTCATGCCGGGTTTTATATTCAGTGGGTGCCAATATCGTGCAACCTGATACAAGATGATCAATCGTTTCTAGATATTTGTCAGAGAATCTGCATTTTGGGCTGACACAATATTTTAGTATATGTGCTTGATAATTCCTAGTTAGTAAGCATTGGTCCTGTGCAGCAAGGATAAAACCTTCAGTTTCCGCTTTCAACCCTGCACTACGTAGCCACTGATGGGTACGGGTTTTGTCTACGTCAGCTTGTTTGGTACGGGCAGGGTATTGGCCATGAAGCGGTTTATCTTGCCAGCGCTTCTGTATCTGGTCGGTTGCATTCGTCTTTGCTGTCTTTTTTAAGTATTTTGCAGTTTCAGCCGGTGTATTGTGCTGTAGTTGCATCTCTACGCCCATTTGAAACTCTATTTTGAATTTGTTGGCCTCATTTATTATTATTATTATTATTATTATTCCCGCAATTCCATTTCCCACCATATTCTTCCGGTTTCAACGCCGCCATGTTCACTGGCAATAACATTTTCTTCTCGCATGGACAGATTTTTCATTCTCCTCATGTTTCATCAAGTACAATCTCTGTCTTTGATCATTTGAAACATTGTTCTTCTTCAAATCCAGCAAGTCCAATATAGTAAAACCCGTAACTTTTGTCGAAAATGGCCTCCAATCTGTGGCTAAATGAGACGAGGAATGGCCTGTAAATTTTAACGTCTTTCATTTAATCATCACAGAGAACCTTTTCTGACTGTAATCAGCATGACTGATGCTGACCTTCAGGAGACAGTCAGCATGGCTGATGCTAATCCCCAGGAGAGCAACTCTTTGCGCCTTAAATTTGACTAAATTTCATCCCATACTCTGTTTACACTTCTTTCTTTGCATTCTTCTTCATCTCTTGTTTTTAAGATTTTACTTATATTATATAAACCATTCGTACTTATAATTTGCTTTCAACATCTTTTGATCTTTTACGTACAGCAATTCTAATCTCACACCAGAGTAAAAATAAAATCAAATTTAATAAATAATTACAAATTCGAATTATAATTTGTAGAATTTCTGTTTCTTTGTCACAAATTAGAATAGAATCTTTAAGTTGTTATCTGGACAGATTATTAGCTATAAATCGAATAATATTCTTCAATTCTTTTACGAACGACGTATCGATCATGCCATGCTGTTTTATGCAATTTGTGAAATCTGCTAAAGTATTCTGCCGTCGCTCGTCCCAAGCGGAATGTTTGTAAAATACTCAGATAGCTCTGTGTTGTAAAGAAAAACGTTTCAAATGATCAAAGACAGAGATTGTACTTGATGGAAACAGAGGAGAATGAAAAATCTGTCCATGCGAGAAGAAAATGTTATTGCCAGCGAACATGGCGGCGTTGACATCAGAAGAATATAGTGGGAAATGAAATTACGGGAATAATAATAATAATAATAATAATAATAATAATAATAAAAACAACAAGACTTGGATTTAAGAAAAAGAGGAAGAGTATACGAGGAGGAGTGGGAGGAGAAGAAAGAAGACGAAGGAGAAAGAAGAAGAGATGAGTAGGGTGAAAAGTAGTAGTAGTAGTAGTAGTAGTAGTAGAAGAAGAAGAAGAAGAAGAAGAAGAAGAAGAAGAATGAAGAATGAAGAGAATAAGGAGGAGGAAGAAGCAAGAGGACGAGGGAGGGGAGAAAGAAGAAGAAGAATGAGGAGGAGAAGGAGGAGCAAGAAGTGGAAAGAGAAGAAAGTGGAGGTGGAGAGAGAGGGGGAGTAAGAGGAGAAGGAGGAGGAGAAAGAATGGAAATGTAGGAAAATAAAATTTAAAAGAATGAAAAAAGAATGAAAATGGCTAATTAGAAAATAAGACAAAACGATACAAAGATGAATGGAAAGAAAGAGAATAGAAGAAAGAAAGAAAGAAAGAAAGAAAGAAAGAAAAATGAAAGAAAGAAGGAAAGAAAGAAATGAAGATGAACGGAAAGAAAGAAAATAGAATCAAATATTAAAAAAGAAGACAGAAGAAAGAATGAAAGAACGAAAGAAATGAAGATGAATGGAAAGAAAGAAAGAAAGAAAGAAAGAAAGAAAGAAAGAAAGAAAGAATGAAAATAAGTAATTAGAAAATAAGACAAAACGATACAAAGATGATTGGAAAGAAAGGGAATAGAAGAAAATATTAAGAAAGAAAGAAAGAATGATTAAAAGAAAGAAAGAAACAAACAAAGAAATAAGGAAAGAAAGAAAGAAATGAAGACGAAGGGAAAGAAAGAAAATAGAAGAAAATATTAAAAATGAAAACAGAAGAAAGAAAGAAAGCCAGAAAGAACGAAAGAAATGAAGATGAATGGAAAGAAAGAGAAAAGAAAGAGAAAAGAAAGAAAGAAAAAAAGAAAGAAGGAAAGAAAGAAAGGAAGATGAAGGGAAAGAAAGAGAAAAGAAAGAAAGAAAGAAATGAAGATGAATGGAAAGAAAGAGAACAGAAAGAAAGAAAGAAAGAAAGAAAACAGTGAACATGCAAAGAAAAGACGTTGATGAATAGAAAGAAAGAACCTAAGAAAATAGTGTGAAAGAGAAAGAAAATTGCAGTAAAAGAAAAAAAATGACGGAACCGAGAAAAGAAAAACCTAGAAAATGACGAAAAGAGGGTGGGGGGGTTGAAAAAAACAGAATGAATTAAAAAATATTCCCACTAATTAAGATGAAAGGTAACGAGATTAGCAGCAGATGAATGTCGCTTTAATCACTATCAATGGCTTGTAAAATGCAAAGTCGATTGCGAAAGCAAGTGCTTACAGCTAAATCAACAGAAACAAAGGTGAATAGTTAATATCCTGACAAATGCTCAGCAAATGTTTTAACCCCCATTGGCACGTCAGATTCTTCCTTAGTCAGTGCCCAGACTGACTCCAAAACAATGCCATTCCTTGATTTATCGTTCCATAGAACGGTTTTTCGCTATACAGAGGCAAACTAGGACAGCTTTCCGTCCTCTATGACGGAAGCTTCTCGCCTGTTCTTCAAACGTGCTGACCCCAAGACTACTGCCTAATCTTCGAATGTATATTTTCTGGAATGGGCTGTTTTATACGCCCCCCCCCTCCCCGGAAAAATTCAAGCAAAAAGCGAGACAGTCAGCGCTGGATCACCCCTGAGTGATCTGCAGCTATATTTAACCGGCATCACTACTTCAAAATATATCGCAAGGAACTGTGTACTCTGGCCCTTATTTCTTTCAGAACCTCCCGTGATCGCAGTAAGAGAGTCCTGGAAAACGCAAAGTGAAGCTACGCTCGATCTGTGCAGGCCACGGTTGAAAAGAAACAAATTGGAACTCGCGAATTCTGGAAGATCGCCAACCAAATTATGGAAACACAGGCAAAGCGGTTGTGGCCACTATTATTAATGGCCACGAGGTCATATCCTCCTCAACAGACAAGGCGAATCTCTTCGCCTTGATCTTCGCCTCAAGCTCAACTTTAGATGACAAAGGCCATCCCCTCCCCAACTTCCCACGTCTCAATGTCAGTAATATACTCATTTCAGCAAGAGAAGTCTCTAGACTTATCAAAAGCCTCGACCCCAAAAAGCCACTGACCCAGACAAAATTTCAATGGTCGTCCTTAAGAATATCAACTCATAATTATCCTCGATTCTAGCAAAGGTATTTCACCGCTGCTTGAAAGAGAAATCTTTCCCAAGCATATGGAAGTTGACAAGCGTATGCCCGGTCTTCAAGAAAGCAGACAACCGATCTTCCCACTTCCATTATAGATTATTATCTCCTCAGTATCATCAGTAAGCTTTTTGTGGCCTTAATCATCGAGTCGTTGAGCACCTAGATAGAAACAACCTCTTATGCGATGAGCAGTATCGGTTTGGATCAGCCCGATCCACTGCTGATGTTCTAACTACCATTACACACAGAATTAGTGAGGCTCTTGAAGACACGCATATAGCAAGGACCATAGTATTAGATATCTTGAAGGTGTGACACATTGGAAGGGTTTTTTCTATAATAAAATCCTTCTTAACAGGTAAATCTTTGAAGGTTATTATCGACTGGTCCTCCGATGCCCTGGCGGTCAACACAAGCGTCCCACAGTGGTCTATTCTCGAACCAACCCACTTTCTGATTTGCGAAAATGATGTACCTAAGAATATACTCCGATCATTTATAAACGTCTATGCTGATGATGGGTGCATCTCTAAAAGTTTTGACAATCAGAGATTGGCAGCTGAACTCTTTTTCAATCTAACACTAACTTCCCAATAGGGAAAACTGGCTGGTTACATTCAATGCTTCTAAAATGGTTACATTGCATCACCGCCGACCAGGGCCTGAACTACCGTCAGTCACGATGAACGGATGTCCTCTAGAGGAGGCTCCGTGCCTCGAGAGAATAATGGGCCTCAAACTCACATGGACCTCGGGTGGAATTCCTGTATACGACCCATCGCTAAAGATGCAGGTAAAAATGATCAGCACCCTGCACCGCTCCAGTAAGTACCTGACTCTTCATGTTATCCTCTACCTTTTACAGATCAGGCCGAAAATGGAGTAATGTTGCCATATTTGGGCAGGAGGTGCCCAGACTACACTTGCCAGTCTTGATAGAGTTTAAAAACGTCTCCGAGTCCGTGTGGGAGAAGAATTATTTTACTCTTTGCAACCTTTCTCTTTCTCACACACATAAGCGGGGTGTGGCGTGTTTCTCGCTACTCTTTCGCTACTATCAAAGAAAGTGTTCGGACGAACTGCGTCTCCTGATTCCACCAGGTCTAACCTCCACAGCTAGGACCCACCATGCTACTTACATAGTTACAAACCACCCGCACTCCTCCCGTATTCCATCGGCGAGAAGTTCTACTCGAACAGCTTCTTCACGCGAACCACTACCCTATGGAACAGACTCCATACAGAATGTTCCCCCGATCACTCCGATCTTAACCTGTTCAAGTCTAGAGTTAACAGTTATCTTCCCATATAAACTACTCATTATCGTAAATCTCTCCCTCGAGTGAACTATACTGTTAAAAAAAGATAGATACTGTCCGTCCACTCTTCAGGGGATATCATCAATTTGCCTCATATATTTTTCGATTTTTCCTTTTGTATATGTGTGTGTGTGTGTGTGTGTGTGTGTGTGTGTGTGTGTGTGTGTGTGTGTGTGTGTGTGTGTGTGTGGTTTAAAACTTCTACATTTATAGCGGAAGAGAGATCAATATCGAACGTAGAAACTTTATAGAATCAAACACTGTAGATATAGGAATCAATACTACATGGCGACTGCCAGTTTCACACTTCACTATGATCCTCAGATCAAATTCATTTTTCAGACTGAGTCTATAAATCGCACTGAAGCGTGAAGCTAACAGTCACCATGTCGGCATTTTTCTCTCTCATTGAATATATACATGTGTGTGTGTGTGTGTATGTGTGTGTGTGTGTATGTGTGTGTGTGTATGTGTGTGTGTATGTGTGTGTATGTGTGTGTGTATGTGTGTGTGTATGTGTGTGTGTGTGTATTTAGGCACCAAATTTTCTAATAGGCATGTCTGACTGAATCAATTACAAATATTATGTCTGCTTATTTTTATCATAATCCTTTCGTATTCACGAATATTTTTCCGTATATTTCAGTTGAATAAGGCAAGGAATGCACTATAGCAGTGAGAATCACTTTTATTTCCCATGTAATGGATAGCTACACATAGTTTTTGCCTTAGCAGTGGTCCCATGATGATGATCTCAGAAAGAGATGGAAAGTACTTGAGAAATAAAAGTGATTCTCACTGTGACAATGTATTTCTTGCCTTATTTAATTGTAATATACAGAAAAAATATTCGTGAATATGAAAGGATTATGATGAAAATAAGCAGGCATAATGTTTGTAATTTATTCAAGAAGTTATATATATATATATATATATATATATATATATATATATATGAAGTTCTTATAATTTAATATTATTGTATTTATATTCTCATTACATAAAATGACGGGAATATTGGGTGTTCCAATAACTAGGACCGATTTTAAATGTGAATTAAGTTTAAGCGTCTCATGATTTTTTTTCTTTTTCTTTCAGATTTAACAAATTAAGTCTTTAGCAATTTCAACCATGGAAAGATTAACAATCAAACATTGTACTGAAGTTATCGAAGCCTATTAAGACAATGGACGTTCAAACAGAAATGCATTTCGCGATTTTTTGGGTCAATATCATCGACCAACCAAGAGTGCAATTGCAAACGATGTGGAGAGGTTTAATTACTGCGCGCTATGACGAATAGAGGGGTCTGGATTTTCGGCCACATTCTCGTGCACTGCAGCAATGTTTTCAGCTGAACGGCGTAAATGAGCACGCAATGGTGTTTTCACATCTAGTATAGACCGAGGTTGTTTGAATTTACGAACAATTTTTCCAACTGCACCCTTGAAATATTAACACGTTTCTGATTGTTAATCTATCCATGGTTGAAATTGCCAAAGACTTAGTTTTTAAAAGAAAGTTGTTGAAAGAAAGAGAAAAAAATATCATTAGACGCTTAAACTTAATTCACATTTAAAATCGGTTCAAGTTATTGGAACAGCCTTTATATTACTAGCCTATTTCTCTAAGTTTTTTTATTTTTTATTTATACAATGGAACTATAAAACTACTATCGCTATTATCTGCGAATGTATTAAATATAATAATGCATAAATAAAACATATTTTATTTGTCAATCTCAAATTAACAGAAAATTCTATTTCTGTTACGTTATTAAGAAAATCAGAAAATTTCAGTGACGGGAGAATTGATCGGCTGCGATGTAACTATCTAAATATTATATGCGTTGTTTTTAATGCGGATAAACAGTAGACGAATGAAAACCTATCGCTTCAAAATTCTGACAATGCTAGAGTGGTCGGTGAGTAGGTCGACTGAGATTTTGTGATCAAAATATTAAATATTAGGACACTAAAACAAATATGTTGAAATAAAAAGAACAAGTCCCTTCTAAAATTCTGAAACTGCTAAGGTGTCTGGAGAATTTTTCGACTGGAACATTCACCGAAGAAAATACATGGTAATATAAGGAAAAATCTAAACTGTATAATTCTGGCTTGAAATGTCGCAGAATAGATCGACTTCGACTTTGCGACAAAAACATTATATCTAGAGACGCTAATCAGAAGATATGGTAGAATAAGGAAAACATCTCGTGTCCAAAATTCTAACAATGCTAGGAAGGTCGGACAATAGATCGGCTGAGATGTAATCTTCAGAACATTAAATATGGAGACGTTAATCCGAAAAAAAAAAAAAAAACAGAATAATAAAAACATCTAATTTCCAAAATTCGAACAATGCTAGGAAGGCCGGAAAATAGATCGGCTGAGATGTAATCTTTAGAACATTAAATATGGAAACACTAATCCAAATAAATGACAGAATAATAAAAACATCTAATTTCCAAAATTCTATCAATGCTATGAAGGCGGACAATAGATCGGCTGAGATGTAATCCTTAGAACATTAAATATGGCGACGTTAATCCGAATAAAAAACAGAATAATAAAAACATGTAATTTCCAAAATTCTAACAATGCTAGGAAGGCCGGACAATAGATCGGCTGAGATGTAATCTTTAGAACATTAAATATGGAGACGTTAATACGAATAGACAACAGAATAATAAAAACATCTACTTTCCAAAAGTCTAACAATGCTAGGAAGGCCGGACAATACATCGGCTGAGATGTAATCTTTTAGAACATTAAATATGGAGACGATAATCCGAATAAAAAACAGAATAATAATAATATCTACTTTCCAAAATTCTAACAATGCTAGGGAGGCCGGACAATAGATCGGCTGAGATGTAATCGTTAGAACATTATGGAAACAATAGAAAACAGAATAGTAAAAACATCTAATTTCCAAAATTCTAACAATGCTAGGAAGGCCAGAAATAGAAAAAACAGAACATTAAATAAAAACAATAGAAAACAGAATAATAAAACTAATTTCCAAAATTCTAACAATGCTAGGAAGGCCGGACCATAGATCGGCTGATCAGAACATTAAATATGGAGACATTAATCGAATAAAATACAGAATAATAAAAACATGGAGGAAGGCGTTAATCCGTGAGATGTAAAGAACATTAAACATGGAGACATAATAAAAAAAACAGAATAATAAAAACATCTAATTTCCAAAATTCTAACAATGCTAGGGAGGCCGGACAATAGATCGGCTGAGATGTAATCGTTTAGAATATTAAATATGGAGACGTTAATCCGTATAAAAAACAGAATCATAAAAACATCTAATTTCCAAAATTCTAACAATGCTAAGAAGGCCGGAAAATAGATCGGCTGAGATGTAATCTTTTAGAACATTAAATATGGAGACATTAATACGAATAAAATACAGAATATTAAAAAACATGTTATTTCCAAAATTCTAACAATGCTAGGAAGGCCGGACAACAGTTCGGCTGGGATGTAATCTTTTAGAACATTAAATATGGGGACGAGTATCCGAATAAAAAACAGAATAGTAAAAACATCTAATTTCCAAAATTCTAACAATGCTAGGAAGGCCAGACAATAGATCGGCTGGGATGTAATCTTTTAGAACATTAAATATGGAGACGTTAATCCGAATAGAAAACAGAATAATAAAAAACATGTAATTTCCAAAATTCTAACAATGCTAGGAAGGCCGGACAATAGATCGGCTGAGATGTAATCCTTAGAACATTATAAATGACAGAATAATAAGAGCATCTAAATTCCAAATTTCTGACAATGCTAAGAAGACCAGAGAATAACTCGTTTGAGACATGGTAATTAAAACATACACGTCCACAGTGAAATAATGAACACGTTCCACGTTGAAAACTTTAGGAATGCTGGGACGGCCGGAGAATACAACTGCTGATTATCTGGTGGAAGAATGAACAATTATCACCGCCGATATACCGACAACTCTAAGAAGATTAGAGATTAGTGTGGTTGACGCAGAACAATGAAAACATTACGAATAAACTGGTTGGATAATGATTAAAATCTTGCCCCTAAACTTCTGACAAAAAGTCGTAGAAGATTGCAGTCGAAATGAAGTGATGAAAATAATTAGGCTTGTGTTAATAAACTAATGAAATTCTGACAGTTTTAGTAATCCTGGAGAATAGACCGGCCGAGGAGTTGCAATCAGAATATTAGAAATTCGAACGATTATGGGAATAATTTGTGGACTAATACAAACAACAACTTCTGTCAGCATTTATATCAGTCATGATCAAACTGTGGTACGTTTAGCTTTCCGGGTGACACGCCTAATTTCATGAAGAAAATAACGTTTCTTTAAATTTTGTTGCGTTCTCACTTGTTCACTCACACTCTCTCTCACACCTATAATCTCCTAAATAAATAAAAAAAATTACGTGTAATTTTTCAAGAAATTTAAACTTTTTGTTAAAGGTAATATTTTCTTCGTTTTAAATCATCGACGATTTTCACTAAGGAAGATCATACGTGTAAACATCTTTTTTGCATTAGAAAAAGGAAGTGTTCATAATATTTTTTTTCTCTCTGGAGAAAGAATTATTTATCTAAAACAATTTTTTTTGTTTTGTATTTTCAATAAATAAACTAGAAACAAATCACGACTTAACATGCGCAAGTGAGATATTTGCGTTGCCGTCTATAACGATTTTTACGAGCGCGTCAATAACGGCAAAGGCGTTCAGGAAACTTTCATTACGGATAGAAGCTTCAAAGAAGAACAATCGTTTTATTTATTTCATTACAAGAATTGACAAAGAGGAACGATCAATTAGCTTATCTTCATACCCTGCCTGGTGGCAAACGCTGCTGGTGGCGCCAGGGGTGGCGGTCCCGCCATAGCCACCGAAACCGTGATATCACCCCTGGGCGGCGGCTGATGAAGACAGGGTATTGCACGTTGTATGTTAAAAAAAAAACACATAGAAGATATCTGAATCACACTCTCATCAGGGATAACATTATAAGAGATCATATTTTTAATTACAGAAAAAATACCTATTTCTAAGGCTTATGCGTATGGGCTTCCGTAGAAAAAAATGACTGCAGAACCTTCAACGAAATGTAGCCTAGAATCTTTTTAGTAGTTCGGCACATCTCATGATGAGCCATATCTCATGCGACCCACTAGTCGAAAAAGATTGCCCATGCCTGTCTAATACAATAAAGAAATTCACCGATTTCTGTCTACTAAAATATATTAGTAAGATGATTACAACTGTCGGGATGGTGTTAACAGTAGTCTAATAGGTGATAACAATGCTATGGTGGGAGTGTTATCCAAGCAAAAGTATTCTAGTATATTTGTGTAGTTACCATGATGACAATTGTACGCAGATAGTGTCAATCTTAGGTGGCGACAATGTCTGATTATTATCATTATTACTTTTGACACTAACAAGCGTGACAGTGTCATTGGAGTGGCAGTCGTCTGAGAGACGTGTTTAATAATAGTAATAATAATAATAGACTGCCCGCAGACGTAGCCATAATTTCAGTTTCAAGGCTTAACACAATCCCCACCCTGCCACAACTTCCCTCAACATCACCGATTTTCAATTATCTCTCTCATTGATACTCTCTCTCTCTCTCTCTCTCATTTGTTTCTTTCTTTTCTTTTCTTTTTGCTCCATCTATCTCCTCCCGTATCATTTCCACCTTTCACTTTGACGCCCCAGTGCAGACCAAGATGGGAAGTGATGATGGGGTGTGAGTGGTAGCAAGAGGAGACGGAAGAGGTGGGAGAATCAGAAGAGTACTGACGACCCGGTGAGTATGACGCGAGTCCTTGTGCGCGTCTGTGCTCGTGTGTTTGCATTCGTGTGTATATTTGTCGCTCTGCGATGACCCAGTCGTTCACCGCACACAGACAGACGCATTACGTAACAGCGTTCCCAATTTTCACATTAACACACCGGCGTCTGCTTTTCACCACTTTCTACTTTCACTTTCACTTTCAAAATAAGCGATCGCCATTGGTCAACGCCCTTAACACGCCCCTTGATTTCTGTCTCTCTCTTTCTAAGTCTTTTCTCTTTCTTTATATCTCACTCTTACACAGCTACACACGTTTTCTTCCCCTGTGTCTCTTCCTTCTTCTGTGTGTTTTCGTTCATTTTTATCTTATTTATTCTGTCTATCATTTTTGTCACGCTTTGAAATAGTGTGACAACTTTTCAGCTTCTTCCGCTCAATAAACATGTACACTCCTTACCTTTACCTATTTAATGTTAGATAGATAGATAGATAGATAGATAGATAGATAGATAGATAGATAGATAGATAGATAGATAGATAGATGGATACGAAAAGAAGATGTAGATATAAATATAAACAGACTAAAACAAATTGAGAGAGGAGGGATAAAGATTAGAAATAGATACGAAAAGAAGGCGTTGACAGAGATATAACCAGATGAGATAGATAGATAGATAGATAGATAGATAGATAGATAGATAAAGAACTCGATCAGAAAGAGAGAAATGTCGGCAATACATATGAAAAGAAGAAGTTGACAAATATAAAAAGACTAAAAATATAGTTAGCTAGAGTGAGAGAAGAGGGAGGAGAAAGATATCGGAGATTGATATATAGAGAAGCGATCGACATATACATAAACAAACTAAGCAGATAGATAGATAGATAGATAGATAGATAGATAGATAGATAGATAGATAGATAAATAAGATAGATATAAAAATAAACACGTAGATATAAATATAAAAAGACTAAAATATAAACAAATTATATATATATATAGAGAGAGAGAGAAAAGAGATCAGAGATAGATAGATAGATAGAAAATAGATAGATAGATAGTTGATAGATAGATATAAACATAATTATATATATATATATATAGATAGATAGATAGATAGATAGATAGATAAAGAGATAGATTAGATCTGATAGATAGATAGATAGATAGATAGATAGATAGATAGATAGATAGATAAGGAAAAGACAGAGATAGATCTGAAGAGAACAAGATAGATAGATAGATAGATAGATAGATAGATAGATAGATAGATAGATAGATAAGGAAAATACTGAGTTACATCTGAAGACGATAGATAGATAGATAGATAGATAGATAGATAGATACATACATACATACATACATACATAAGACATTGATCAATAAAAGAGTAAGAATAAAAAGCAGTTAGAAAGAAAGAAAGTCGCCACTGATAGGGTTGTGAATAGAAGTACATACATATTTGTTTGGAAACAATGAGAGATTGGAAAAGTATGGAGGAACAGAAAAGGAGTTTGTGATCTGACGATAATAATAGGGAAATAGACATGGCATCTATGAATTTTCTACACTTCAAATTCATCCCTTCGTCTTCGTTTCATATCTTCCTTACAATCCCTTCATTTTGCTAATCTCACCAATTAAACATTACTCCGTATCTTACGTTGTTTTCCAATTATTTTAGTTAATTCTGTCCGGTTACTAGCCATCCGTATTACTATATTTAAACTTCTAGTACGGAGTTCGATCCTAAGCAAGAGCTGAACAACTATGTCTCATTGTCAAGTTGCAGAGTAAAAAAATTATTTATTTGTGGTTCTCATTAAAAGAAACAAAAAGAGACAGGTTTTCTGTTGAATTATCCCCATTATTTCCTCGCGTATGTCTGTGTATACGTCGACACATACAGAGAAAGTGAGAAAGAGAGAGAGAAAGAGAGAAAGAGAGAATTAGATGGAAAGCCTTATTGTCCGCTTCTTTCTTCAACATTCTATTTCGGCAGAGATTTCAACATCCGATACGCGATCTCAGCTTAAATGTTTCTGAATTCCTATTTTTATATCGGCAATTCCATCTGTCTCTTTCTAAATACTCACTCTGTCTCGCAATGCACACTTATCTGTGTCTCTTTCTCTTTACATCTCTCACACGACGTCGCTTCCTACAAGTGCGAGATATTGTGCGCACGAACATGCAATATTTTATCGATGCACCAAATGCTGCATTTCTTTTATAGGAATGGTGTTACCATAAAAATAATCAAATATCTACCGTTTTTCTTCTGTCAGTTATTATCATTAACAGCCATATCGCGGTTATTCTTCATCGAGATTATTAGCGTAATCAATATCAATATCATTTCCATATTAATTATCTTGATTAATCCAATCATAATCATTCCCGTCAATTATTAACACCTTGATCTTCCATACAATCAGCATTCTACGTATGACATATTATCATAATTTTCCAGTATATCATTGTCATTGTTTATAGCAATTATCATCATAATTCAGATAACCGTTCTTCATAGCAATTATCATCATCATTCAGAACACCGTTCTTCATAGCAATTATCATTCATCATCATCATCATCAGATCACTGTTCTTCATATCAATTATCACTGTTCTTCATATCAATTATCATCATCATTCAGATCACCGTTCTTCATATCAATTATCATCATCATTCAGATCACCGTTCTTCATAGCAATTATCATCATCATTCAGATCACTGTTCTTCATATCAATTATCATCATCATTCAGATCACTGTTCTTCATAGCAATTATCATCATCATTCAGATCACCGTTCTTCACATCAATTATCATCATCATTCAGATCACCGTTCTTCATAGCAATTATCATCATCATTCAGATCACTGTTCTTCATATCAATTATCATCATCATTCAGATCACCGTTCTTCATAGCAATTATCATCATCACTCAGATCACTGTTCTTCATATCAATTATCATCATCATTCAGATCACTCTTCTTCATATCAATTATCATCATCATTCAGATCACTGTTCTTCATATCAATTATCATCATCATTCAGATAACTGTTCTTCATATCAATTATCATCATCATTCAGATCACTGTTCTTCATATCATTTATCATCATTATTCAGATCACTGTTCTTCATATCAATTATCATCATCATTCAGATCACTGTTCTTCATATCAATTATCATCATCATTCAGATCACCGTTCTTCATATCAATTATCATCATCATTCAGATCACCGTTCTTCATTTATCATCATCATTCAGATCACCGTTCTTCAATCAATATCATCATCATTCAAATCACCGTTCTTCATATCAATTATCATCATCATTCAGATCACCGTTCTTCATATCAATTATCATCATCATTCAGATCACTGTTCTTCATAGCAATTATCATCATCATTCAGATCACCGTTCTTCATATCAATTATCATCATCATTCAGATCACTGTTCTTCATGTTCTTCATTCAGATCACCGTTCTTCATATCATTATCATCATCATTCAGATCACTGTTCTTCATATCAATTATCATCATCATTCATTCAGATCACTGTTCTTCATATCAATTATCATCATCATTCAGATCACTGTTCTTCATATCAATTATCATCATTTCAGATCATCTTCATATCATTCAGATCATTCAGATCCCGTTCTTCATATCAATTATCATCATCATTCAGATCACTGTTCTTCATATCAATTATCATCATCATCATCACCGTTCAGATCATCATCATTCAGATTCTTCATAGCAATTATTATCATTTATCATTTCAGATCACTGTTCTTCATATCAATTATCATCATCATTCAGATCATTCTTCAGATCACCGTTCTTCATATCAATTATCATCATCATTCAGATCACTGTTCTTCATATCAATTATCATCATCATTCAGATCACTGTTCTTCATACCAATTATCATCATCATTCAGATCACCGTTCTTCATATCAATTATCATCATCATTCAGATCACCGTTCTTCATATCAATTATCATCATCATTCAGATCACTGTTCTTCACCAGCAATTATCATCATATCACCGTTCTTCATATCAATTATCATCATCATTCAGATCACTGTTCTTCATATCAATTATCATCATCATTCTTCATATCAGATCACTGTTCTTCATATCAATTATCATCATCATTCAGATCACTGTTCTTCATATCAATTATCATCATCATCATCATTCAGATCACCGTTCTTCATATCAATTATCATCATCATTCAGATCACCGTTCTTCATATCAATTATCATCATCATTCAGATCACTGTTCTTCATATCAATTATCATCATCATTCAGATCACCGTTCTTCATATCAATTATCATCATCATTCAGATCACTGTTCTTCATATCAATTATCATCATCATTCAGATCACTGTTCTTCATATCAATCATCATTCAGATCACTTCTTCTTCATCAATTATCTGTTCTTCATCACATTTTTATCTCTGTTCTTCATCAATTATCATCATCATTCAGATCACTGTTCTTCATATCAATTATCATCATCATTCAGATCACCGTTCTTCATAGCAATTATCATCATCATTTAGATCTCTGTTCTTCATATCAATTATCATCATCATTCAGATCACTGTTCTTCATATCAATTATCATCATCATTCAGATCACTGTTCTTCATATCAATTATCATCATCATTCATCACTAATCATTCAGATCACTTCATATCAATTATTCTTCATCATCAATTATCATCATCATTCAGATCACTGTTCTTCATATCATCATCATTATCATCATCATTCAGATCACTGTTCTTCATACCAATTATCATAATCATTCAGATCACCGTTCTTCATATCAATTATCATCATCATTCAGATCACCGTTCTTCATATCAATTATCATCATCATTCAGATCACTGTTCTTCATATAATTATCATCATCATCATTCAGATCACCGTTCTTCTTCATATCAATTATCATCATCATTCAGATCACTGTTCTTCATTCAATATCAATTACCGTTCTTCATCATCATCATTCAGATCACAATGTTCTTCATATCAATTATCATCATCACTCAGATCACATCATTCTTCATATCAATTATCATCATCATTCAGATCACTGTTCTTCATATCAATTATCATCATCATTCAGATCACTGTTCTTCATATCAATTATCATCATCATTCAGATCACCGTTCTTCATATCAATTATCATCATCATTCAGATCACTGTTCTTCATATCAATTATCATCATCATTCAGATCACCGTTCTTCATAGCAATTATCATCATCATTCAGATCACCGTTCTTCATATCAATTATCATAATCATTCAGATCACTGTTCTTCATATCAATTATCATCATCATAATCATCCATATAAATATTTTTTCAATACAGTCATTATTTTTTGTATCATCATTATTCCTCCTGATTCATGATAATCCTTTATTATCAACATTATCATTATCTAAATCAATTAATATCATCATAATGTTTTATGTTCTAATTATCACCACCATTAGCATCGATATTATCATAATTATTTGAAGCAATTATTATCGACATTAACATCGTAATAATAACAGTTCTTTATATCAATTATTATAATCCATATTTTCATCATTACGTACATTGCATTACATATCATTACCATTCCTCATAATAATGTCCATTGTCATCATTATCAAGGATATAATCATCATTATTTTTATAAATTATTTTCATCGTCATTATCACCTCATCTTCATAATCTTTTTTTCATTTTAATGAACATCATCATCATTATCATCATCATCATCTTCTTTCAATGATATTATAATTATCCTTACAATCATCATAGTCTGTCTTCATAGCAGTTATCATTGTTATTACTTATATCTGCATCTGTAGTCATTGCAATTGTCATCATTATCATCCCAATCGTCATTATCATCATCTGCCTCCATTGCAATCATTATCATTATCACTCCTATCAACATCATCATCATCTTTTTTTCATTGCAATTTTCATCATATCCTATCATCATCATCATCACCCCTATCATCAGCACCATCATCTTTTTTCATTGTAATTATCATTATTATCATCCCTATCATCATCAGCAGCATCTGCCTCCATTGCAAGTATCATCATTATCACCCTTATCATCATCATCATCATTCTCCATTGCAATTATCATCATTATCACCCTTATCATCATCATCATCATCGTCATTCTCCATTGCAATTATCATCATTATCACCTTTATCATCATCATCGTCATTCTCCATTGCAATTATCATCATTATCACCTTTATCATCATCATCTTCATTCTCCATTGAAATTATCATCATTATCACCTTTATCATCA